CCCGGAGTAAAGCGAGTGGCTCAGACATCACTTTTGGCCACTTTCAATATTGTTCTTGGTAAAATCCACTAATCTCACATAATCTATATCTTAATTGTAATGCTAATTTTGTTGGTTAGTTATCTACTAAACAAATAGGTAGACGGATGTGATGAAAACAAGCCCACCAGCTCGTCTTCAGGGGGAGAAATGTGAGTTTGTAAGGGAAAAATATGATGGCTTACTCGCAAAGCAGTCGTGCAAGGTGATGTGTATTTACAGTGCCAAAAAGTCCATCCACAGTGAAGGTATATACAAGTGCTAAAAAAAAAAAAAAAAAAACAGTACCAAAGAAACAAAAAACAGCAAAATAAAATCTGCAAAAATATACCCCAATTATATCTACAAAAAAAAAAAAATAATATCGATAATAACAGGTATCCACAACATATTTGCTCAAGGCACCACAGTAGCACTCTTGCATCAACTTGGTAAACAAGTGTTGTATGGTAGTTGGGCTCTGGCTTATATAGCCCAAACTCCCGTCTGTTTGTGGGCTATACCATTCATAGGTAAGTATTAAATTGGACAAATACACAAACATTAAATAACTTAACATTCAATCCACACTTCACATTAAACACATTAAGAAAAAAACCTTTATATATAATTAACAACAAAACATAAATTTTCTTAATGTAAATAAACACATAATACACACTTCATGATCACAAAACACCTATTCACAAACATAATTGTTTCGTCATCTTCCGATCGCAGCGCGCATGCACACACAATCCCATGCATTCTTATACCGGCACTTTCTATGTGCTCGATTTGACCGATCACGACCGGAAGCCTGACTACGCCCACAAAGACAAACACCAAACGGAAAAGGCAACACAACAGGTCAAGTGGAGGTGTATGAAATGCCTATGAATGACTTATGAATTGTGGAGAGTGGATTTATGGAAATATGTCCATGTGCTATCGAGATCGCGTGTGCACCCGCTCCTCTGATAGCGGCAACGGCAGGCAGGAACAATATAATGAATGAATGAGGTAAGTGTGCTGCTTTCCCAGCGGTAACCGTTAATGTGACCTTATCACATCACCTTCCCCCTCTCCCAGCTGCGTACTGGCCGGGTACCTAGACAGGTAGTCGGCTACCACGTTAAGTCTACTCGGTCGATGGCATATTGTAAAGTGGTATGGCTGCAGGGTGAGGTACCATCGGGTGACTTTGGCATTGTGGTCTCTCATAGACTGGATCCAGGTAAGGACCCGGTGGTCAGTTTCCAGATCAAACTCTCGGCCTAGGTGGAGATAGAAGGTAGCTACGTAAACTGTCCAGAGACCACTTGATTGCAAGACCTGCCTTCTCAATTGCAGAATACCTTGTCTCCCTCGGCAGTAGCTTGCGGCTGAGAAAAACAATAGTTTTTTGTTCCTTTACATTTCCTTGGGCAAGGACAGCTCCTATTCCTGTTGCAGAAGCATCCACTTGCACCAGGAACCTTTTTGAAAAGTCAGGACTATGTAAGACTGGACTGGAACACATCTTCTCTTTCAGGGTTTTAAAAGCTTTTTTGCAGTCATTGGTCCATGGAACAGGATTTGTGACTGACTTAGACAACAAGTTAGTTAAAACTTGTAAGTCTAGCGTGAGCTTGCAAAAATCGATACAGACACGCAAGGATCCATCTTTCTTGGATGGTGCATGGTAGACATGGTAGGTCTGCCTTGTCTTCCTCTTGTCTGGATGATAATTTTCATAAGTCACCAGCCCCATCTTGCGCATCACAGTGTTAGCCCCTGCCATTTAGCCAGTAACTTGTTAGTTGAAGTTGGTAAAAGTAGCAGAACCTTTTGGCCGTTTTGGAATTGTATCAGTCTGGCATGTTGGTTGTACCATCTCCTTTGTGCTTGCTGTTTCTCTAGTAGACTTTCTTTGGCTTGTTCTCTGTACTTCTCCAAACAGTCTCGCATCTCTAGCACATAGTGCACAATGCCGCTCTCCTCCTTCTTCGATGCAGGTTCTCCTTCCCAGTCCATCTTTAGCAAGCCTAGGGTTCCTTGTACCTGGCATCTATAAAAGAGCTTAAATGGTGAGAAGCCCGTCGATGCCTGGGGCACTTCTCTGTAAGCAAAGAGAACAAATGGTAACCACTTATCCCAGTCTAGGCCTGTGTCTGCAACGAACCTCCGCAGCATATTGTTGAGAGTTTGATTGAACCTCTCGACAAGTCCATCTGTCTGTGGGTGATATAGCGTTGTTCTAATGGCAGTGATGCCCATCTGCTTGTGTAGCTGCCCCATTGGACATGATGTGAAGTTTGTTCCTTGGTTGATAAGTATCTCCTCAGGTATTCCAACGCGGGAGAACAACTGAATCAAGGCATGAATGATCTTGGGTGTGTTAATAGAACGGAGTGGGTAGGCCTCAGGATACCTTGTGGAATAGCCACTGACCACCAAGATGTAACGATGTCCATCACTGCTCTTCTCCAATGTCCCCACAATGTCCATGGCAATCTGCCTAAAAGATGCAGAGATAACAGGGAGAGGTTGCAGGGGTGCTCTGCCCCGCTGGGACACAGCACTTGTCTTTTGGCAGACGGCACATGTTTTACAGTGTGTTTGTACATCAGTATAAAGTGTGGGCCAGTAAAATCGTGAGCTAATGCGTCCATGTTTTCTGTTGGCCTAGGTGACCAGCCCATGGAACAGTGTGTGCAAGGTGAAGAACAAGAGAATGACAACAAGATGGCACAACTAAACTAACACATCATTTGTTCTCGCATATAACACACCATTCTCTACTACATATATCGCATTGCACAAAATTTATGGTTTTTCAGACCTTTAACAAATAAGAGTTTCAAGGTTTCATCTTCCCTCTGAAGTTGTGTTATTTCCCTGGACCTTCCAGCCATTAACTTTGAGACCCTCTCCTGAGGACTCAGAGGCTGGAGTTCCCAGGTACTTTTCAAGACGCCTCTGGCGTCTTGACTTTTAAGCGCCCTTGGTCCCGCCCTGCAACAGACTACTATCCAAGTCTGGCAAGGTCTGTAGACCTGCCCTGGTTTGTGCTCTTGTAAGAGCTGGACATGACACATTAACAGTGGTAATGGAATTTTCAGATTCTTTGATGGTGGGTTGCAAAAGTTCATATAGTACTGAAAAGTCTCTTCCTAGAATCATATTAGCTGGTAAATGGTCAACTACGGCAACATTAAGCAAGTACATTTGTTCTAGTACCTCAACCATAACCACAGCTTGGGGATGCTGCTTTATGTCCCCATGTACACATTGAACAGAGGTGGTGTTTTCATAACTGACATTATGTACGAAGCATGATTTCGTCATTGACAAAAAGCTTCCAGTATCTAAGAGTGCTTTTAGTTTATTTCCATTCACAGTAACATTATATACATTCTGACCCACCCCCACAGTCAAAATCACAGTCCCCTTCCCTTGGCACATAACAAAACCTGTAAGTTTAGCTTTACAAACGTTTTTAACTTGGAAAACATTCCCTCACCAGTTGTAGCATCAGAAGTAACTGGCTTGGATGGGGTTAGGCTGGACTTTGAGGAGACTCTGGGATGACTTGTTGCTCCCTCCTCATCTTCCGTTGTCACCACCGAATTCCAATAAGTCCCTTCCTCTGGCACTGCCTTCACTTGGGACCATAAACCCGTCTTCGGTTTTCGACCTTTCAGCACTGTCTTGCGAGTCGCCATCCCACCGCTGCCACCAGATGTGATGAAAACGAGCCCACCAGCTCATCTTTAGGGCGTGAAATGCAAGGTCGTAAGGGAAAATTATGATGGCTTACTCGCAAAGCAGTCGTGCAAGGTGATGTTTATTTACAGTGCCAAAAAGTCCATCCACAGTGAAGGTATATACAAGTGCTAACAAAGAAAATAAAAAAAAAGAGTACCAAAGAAACAACAAACAGGAAAATAAAATCTGCATAAATATACCCCAATTATATCTACAAAAAAAATAATAATAATATCGATAATAACAGGTATCCACAACATATTCGCTTGAGGCACCACAGTAGCACTCTTGCATCGACTTGGTAAACAAGTGTTGTATGGTAGTTGGGCTCTGGCTTATATAGCCCGAACTCCACAATCCCATGCATTCTTATGCCGGCACTTCCTATGTGCTCGGTTTGACCGATCATGACCGGAAGCCTGACTACGCCCACACAGACACACACCAAACGGAAAAGGCAACACAACAGGTCAAGTGGAGGTGTATGAAATGCCTATGGATGACCTATGAATTGCGGAGAGTGGATTTATGGAAATATGTCCATGTGCTATCGAGATCGCGTGTGCACCCGCTCCTCTGATAGCGGTAACGGCAGGCAGGAACAATATGTTGAATGAATGAGGTAAGTGAGCCTGTGAGTATGTCTGTGTGTCAGCGCATCTGTGTGTGTGTGTGTGAGAATGTGTGTGTGTAACTGCCAGTGCTGCTTTCCCAGCGGTGACCGTTAATGTGACTTTATCACAATGAATAACATTTCAGATGAAGCGAAGTGCCACTAAAACAAATAAAGATATGTTTAAATGGAAATACTGACAGTTTCCAATAACATGACTGTATGAAAATATTAAAGAGAGGCAGAGAGAGAGAGAGAGCGATTAATAAAACAAAAGGGGAGAGCAAAAAGCTGCCACTCACACCAACAACTTAGTACCTAAATACATCATAGGATGTAACATTGGTAAATTGCCACTTTTTACTGTCATCCAATGTGTTTTTGGTTATGATCAATGCGTTGTCACTTTAATTAAGCATAAGCAGCACCACAAAAATAGACTGTTATCTAAAAATATTATAATATAAACAAATATAAAGTAGAAATATATACTGAATTAAAAAATGAAGTGAATTTTTCACATATATAAAAATATAGAAAAGTCTCAAAAATCTAACTTAAAATGATATCCTTTAGATTTTTTATGTATTTTTTTGCTTTATTGTGATTTTTTTTACAGATTCACTTAATTCTCTGAAACTGAAATATCGACTGTCGGAGCCATGAATCCTTCAAAGATTGTCATCCAGCTTCAACCACAAACACAAACAGCAACTGTGACTGGGACCAGTTTTTCTGAGCCTGTTTACATGCAGCATGAAGCAGGAGTTTCAATTCAGGCCTTTCTGAAAGGCCAACCAAAAGCCCTTGGGGTGAGAAAACACATACAATTAATTTTGATGTCAGTATAGCACACATTAACACAGCTTGCACAGTTTTTATTGGGCTCTTTTTTTTTGTGTTATTGATTGTTGCCCTGGTGACAGAGCAGTAAATGTACAATCATCAGTTCATGTTTACATCTAGAAGGGTATTTACTTCTTAGTTCCCCTTCGGTTGGGGAACTTCAGTGCCATAAAGTGGATTGATTGAATCCACGAATGGGAGGATTTGGATCAGAAGCCGCTTGTCTGGAGAGTATTGAACGGGCCAATGAATGAAAATGAATTGGCAGCGTAAGCTTGCGCAGGTGTGCGACATCTGCAATTATCCCAGCATATAAGCACACCTGGAGCGAGCAAAAGCCATCCTTTTCGCTTCAGATCTTTTCTGAGTGAGTCGATGAGGGTTCTTCTTGCTGTTCAGCACTTCAGAGCGAACGAGTGTGTCTCCCGGTCCAGAGTGGGTTTTCACGGCGGCAGACGGTCGAGCTGGGTTTCTCCCTTGCCTGCGGTTCTTTGGGTCCGGTCCTCCAGATTGGTGCGTATTGTTGTAACTTTCCTAAAAGAGCAACACAGTCGTGCAGCACGTCCTTTTCAGGATGGCGCTCCGACTGTGCGTTTCTGGATGCGGGGGTTTCCTGGCTCCGCATGATGGACACGATCACTGCATTGCATGTTTGGGGGTCCAGCATGTTAATGCGGTGCTCGCAGGCGGTTCATGTCGTCATTGCGATGCCATGACCGTTGCACAGCTAAGATCGTGGCTAACTTTCGTAAGAGAGCAAGCCACCCCAGTTGCCTCCTGTTCTAAAAAAGCAGCGGGCGCTCGGGCAGATCTGAGGGTTCCAGTGGGAGATAATCCACCGCCCACGGGCTCGCGGACCTCTCGCTCCTCACGGCGCTCCATCCAAACTTCGGGTAGTGGGAGTGATCCGTCTAACCAGATAGTAGCTCTCACGCTCGCTGACACCGGAGATCAGATGTCCTCCGTGGCATCGGAGGGTGGGCTTTCACTGTCTGACGAAGATCCGGACCCGCTCACCCCCTCCATGCAGGTGAGCGCCGTCAAATCAGATCCTGAAGCGGACATGTTAGCCGTGCTTTCCCAGGCTGCTTCGGCCGTGGGGTTGGAGCTGGTTTATCCCCTAGCTCGGCGGCTGGACCGACTACATGGGTGCTACGTAGAGGACCAGAAGGCGAAGCCTTCGAAGCCTCTTGTCCCCTTCTTCCCGAAAGTGCACAGTAGGCTCACGCAGTCTTGGAGGGCACCTTTCTCTGCCCGTGCTGCGTGTCCCTCCGCCCTCACTGCCCTTGACGACAAAGCTGCCAGGGGGTATGAGGCGATCCCATCAGTGGAGCGCGCTATCGCCGTCAATCTTTGTCCGCGCGGTGCCTCTACGTGGTGGGGTTTGCCCCGCCTCCCGTCCAAAGCCTGTAGGTTGTCTGCCTCTCTCGGAGCCAGAGCTTATAAGGCTGCGGGTCAGGCTGCTTCTGCCTTGCACGCGATGGCCACCTACCAGCGCTACCAAGCTCAGGCGCTGGCCGAGCTGCACGAGGGCGGGTCTAACCCAAGCTTATTACATGAGCTGCGCGCCGCGTGTGCGCTGGGGAGGACGATGTCCACACTTGTGGTTCAGGAACGCCACCTCTGGCTAAACCTGGCCGATATGCGCGATGTTGACAAAGTTCGCTTTCTTGACTCGCCCATATCCCAGGCTGGCTTGTTTGGCGACACCGTCGGTGAATTCACCCAGGAATTCAAGGCGGTGAAAGAGCAGTCGGATGCGATGGGCAATGTCATCTATCGGCGTGGCTGAAAGCCTGCTCCGCCCACCGAGCCATCCATCACGCAGTGCTGCCCCGCCCCAGCCTGCGCCTCCGGCCAAGCGGGCGCGGCGTACACCTCTAAAGCAGGCAGTCCCCCCTGCCCAGGGCGCCGTTAAGTCCGGCAAACGGACCGCGAAGTGTCCCTGAGACAGGCCATCCAGATAAGAGGAAACTTGCTCTTTCCCCGCTGGAGGGCGGGGCCCCGATTACAACGGTACTTTTCAGTGCCACCAAAACATCAATCAAAGAGCACTTTTCCCCTTCCCCGGATGTGACAGCACGAATTCTGCCAGTCCGGGGCGCACTGCCTTCCGGCTCGCAGATTCTACGTGCTTCGCCAGTGGCTCACGAGCGCTGGGGGGACGGTCTCCCTTCCCTCAGCCCTCCAGCCCCCTCTCCGGAGTCAGGGTGCGGAGCCAGAGCGAATCGCTCTCCTCCAGCTCTTCCGCGGGACCCTCATGCTTCCCGGATCAGCACACCCACTCCGCGCTGCCCCACCGCTGGTACGTCGGCGATTGTAGCGATGACTCCATTCGCGAGGGCTCTGCCTGCCTGGTTAGCGCGGGCCAGCACCTCGCTGTGGCTCATACGCACAATCAGATTCGGTTACGCGATTCAGTTCGCGAAACGGCCCCTCAAGTTCACGGGCGTGTATTTCTCCAGGGTCAACCCCCTGTCCACCCCTGTCTTGCGAGAGGAGTTTGCTGCCCTCCTGGCGAAGGGTGCAATCGAGCCAGTTCCTCCAGCCGAGATGGAGAGTGGGTTTTACAGCCCATACTTCATCGTACCCAAAAAGAGCGGTGGGTCACGACCAATCCTAGATCTGTGCGTTTTGAACCGCTGTCTGCAAAAGCTGCCGTTCAGAATGCTCACGCAGAGGCGCATTCTCCAATGCGTTCATCCTCCGGATTGGTTTGCAGCCATAGACCTGAAGGACGCGTATTTCCATGTCTCCATTCTTCCACGCCACCGTCAGTTTCTGCGGTTTGCGTTCGAGGGTCGAGCGTGGCAGTACAAGGTCCTTCCCTTCGGACTCTCTCTGTCTCCACGGGTCTTCACCAAACTTGCGGAGGGTGCCTTAGCGCCCCTTCGGCTCGCGGGCATCTGCATACTCAATTATCTCGACGACTGGCTGATTTTAGCCCACTCGCGGGAGCAATAGATTGTGTACAGGGACAAGGTGCTTCGGCATCTCCGCCTACTGGGGCTTCAGGTCAACCGAGAAAAGAGCAAACTCGCCCCCATGCAGAGGATCTCTTTTCTCGGGATGGAGCTGGACTCGATCACCATGGTAGCGCACCTCTCCGAGGAACGCGCTCGCCTGTTGCTGAACTGTCTGAGAGAGCTTGACAGCAAACTAGTGGTCCCACTGAAGTTCTTTCAGAGGCTCCTGGGGCATATGGCATCCGCAGCCGCCGTCACGCTGCTCGGATTGCTCCATATGAGACCACTTCAGCACTGGCTTCACGATCGGGTCCCAAGACGCGCATGGCACGCGGGCACACACCGGGTCTCTGTTACTGCGCTGTGTCGCCGCGCCCTCAGCCCTTGGATTGACCCCTCTTTCCTACAGGCCGGTGTGCCTCTAGGACAGGCGTCCAGCCATGTTGTTGTTTCAACAGATGCTTCCAAAATGGGTTGGGGGGCCGTGTGTCGCGGGCATGCGGCTGCGGGCCTGTGGAAGAGTGCCCTGTTGCATTGGCATATCAATCGCCTAGAGCTGTTGGCAGTGTTCCTCGCTTTCCACCACTTTTTACCGGTGCTGGAGCACGGATGCACTGGCCCACAGCTGGCCTCGGGGCATGCGCAAGTATGCGTTTCCCCCAGTGAGCCTGCTCGCGCAGTTACTGTGTAAGATCAGGGAGGACGAGGAACAGGTTCTGCTATTTGCGCCCTTTTGGCCCAACCGGACCTGGATATCAGAGCTCTCACTCCTCGCGACGGCCCTCCCCTGGCGGATCCTTTTGAGAGAGGACCTACTCTCTCAGGGACAGGGCACCATCTGGCACAGATCTTTGGAATCCCACGTGTGGTCCTTAGACGAGAGGAAGACTTAGGTAACCTACCGACTGCGGTGGTTAATACCCTCACTCAGGCTAGGGCCCCCTCCACGAGGCGCGCCTACGCCCTGAAGTGGAGTCTATTCACTGAATGGTGCGTCTCTCGCAGAGAAGACCCCTGAAACTGCCAGATTAGTGTTGTGCTCCCTTTCCTTCAAGAGAAGTTGGACAGCAGGCTGTCGCCCTCCACTCTCAAGGTTTACGTGGCCGCCATCTCCGCTTATCATAACGCGGTAGCTGGCAGCACCGTGGGAAAGCATAACCTCATCATCCGGTTCCTTAGGGGTGCTAGGCGAATTACTCCATCTCGCCCCCCTCTCATGCCCTCTTGGGATCTTGCCCTTGTTCTCACGAGTTTGCGAGCTGATCCCTTTGAGCCACTCGAATCAGTATCTCTAAGATTTCTGTCCCTGAAGACAGCTCTGCTGGTTGCGTTGGCCTCCATCAAGAGGGAGGCCTCCATCCTGCGTTGGCCTCCATCCTGGAGGCATTTTCGGTCAATGACTCGTGCCTGGAATTCGGACTGGATTACTCTCACGTCATCCTGAGACCCCGCCCGGGTTATGTGCCTAAGGTTCCTACCACTCCCTTTAGAGATCAGGTAGTGAACCTGCAAGCGCTGCCCCCGGAGGAGGCAGACCCAGCCCTTTCTTTACTTTGTCCAGTTCGCGCTCTGCGCATTTATGTGGACCGTACTCAGAATGTTAGATCATCTGAGCAGCTCTTGTCTGTTATGGCGGTCGGCAGCAGGGTAGTGCCGTATCGAAACAAAGATTATTCCACTGGATTGTGGATGCCATTTCACTCGCTTATTCGAGTCGAGGTCAGCCGTGTCCCCCGGGAGTGCGTGCACACTTCACTCGGAGCGTTGCATCCTCTTGGGTGCGTGCATGCGGCGCCTCTCTAACAGACATCTGTAGAGCTGCGGGCTGGGCGACACCCAACACATTTGCAAGGTTTTACAATCTGCGAGTGGAGCCGGTTTCCTCAAGGATATTAGGTAACCCTTTGGTGATTGAGGAAACAACTAGGTAGGGTGTTGAGACACGCTTGCTGCACCATTTTCCCTAACACGGAGATACGTGCGCCCTTTTATCTGTCAGTAAAGTTCCCCGTCAGGTGAGCCCTGCAGATTCCTCCCTGGCCCCCAGCACTGACTCAGCGGAGGAGTCACTTGCTGGCCCACTACGTTGTAGGTCTGCCCGCTGGTCAGCCTGCGTTTTGGGTATAGGTGCCTGCTATGCGTGATCCCCACTAGGCGATCCCATATGCTTATTCCGCCATGGTTAAGTCCCCCCCCTGGGCGGACCCGTGTGTTCCCTCTCTGCTAACCACTCTTTTGCTATGCGTACTCCCCCTTTTTAGGGCTAGTCCATATGTAAATCCTGCCATCTATCCCCCCTTGGGTAACAGATGGCCTCCGCAGCGTCCTCCCTATCGGGATTGCACGCTTTCCAACGTACTGTCGTATTTTCCTAGAATTATCTAGATGCTCACGACTTCCCAAAAAATATTTCTAAATCCGTAAAACTTCTGTTGAAGTAGGATAAATTAGGGCCAGGGACACGTTGGAGGACCGCGCCTCCCATGATGTGGGTGCGTCACGCTTGCTTGACTATCCCCTCATCGGGGGCGCTGGTAAGGTGCAGTCATTATGGCGCTTTCCATACTTCTCCCATTCGTGGATTCAATCAATCCACTCTATGGCACTAAAGTTTCCCAACCGAAGGGGAACGTTTGAGGTTACAGAAGTAACCCTTCGTTCCCCGAGGAGGGGAACAGAAGTGCCATACTCCGTCGCCATAATGACTGTCCCTTAGCTGTTTGAAAGTCTCTTCAGCTTAAAAGGATGGCGTTTGCTCGCTCCAGGTGTGCTTATATGCTGGGATAATTGCCGATGCAGCACACCTGCGCAAGCTTACGCTGCCAATTCATTTTCATTCATTGGCCCGTTCAATACTCTCCAGACAAGCGGCTTCTGATCCGAATCCTCCCGTTCATGGATTCAATCAATCCACTCTATGGCACTTCTGTTCCCCTCTTCGGGGAACGAAGGGTTACTTCTGTAACCTCGAACGTTTTAGTTTGTAACATCTATGAATCTGTATGTGAAATTATACAATGAGAATCGCACACTTGCATACTATTTTTGGGATGTTTGTATACTACAGTAATACGATCATACAAACAGCTCTCGAAATGATATAGTGTACATGTTGTTCTGTTTTACTTCATGAAAGAGTTTCTTGTCCTTCTTACACTGTTCTCTCTTATTCCTCACAGACTGTCCAGATAATAATTGGTCTGTTGATTCTCCTGTTGGAAATTGTGTTCACAGTTTTTACACACTCCACCTTTGCCTTCAGCGGCGTTCCTTATGTGGGATCTCTGATAGTAAGAAACAATCATACAGTTTAACATGTTGTCCTAGATAACACAAGCTACAGTGGGTAATCAACCAGAATACATCTTACTGTCACATTTACAGACACTAAAAGTACATATAATTAAATAAAACTCAGATGCTCAGTGTGAACGTTTACTTTGGGAATAACACGTATTGCCATTAGAGGCAGCACTGCAACTAGAGATAGCAAAAGTACACACATCCTTTAGTCAAGTAGAAGTACGATACTCATTTTTAAAATGACTCTGGTAGAAGTTAAAGTACTAATTACACTTTTGTACTCAAGTAAATGTAAATAAGTACAGCCTTAAAAATGTACTTCAGTAAAAAGGATTAATAGGTGTAGTTTCTTGCAGGTAACCAGACCTGACATAACATCGATCCAGCTTTACAAAACAACTTATTTCTGAGTTTGATGTAAATATTGTTGCTTTAGAAAGTAGCCAAGCAGCTCTGCAATATTGCCAAACAACACTGCTCAAAACTGCCCTGTGTAACATCATCCTGACACACTCACAGCATTCAGCATGTTGTTTTGCTGCGTTTAGACAGTGTTGGGGAATAACTAATTAAATGTAACGGCGTTACCTAATTTAATTACAAAATAAAAGAAAATGTTAAAGATTGCAAAGGGGGTTACATCTAAATATGTTGAATACTAATAATCTGTTGTTTTGCCTGTTTTTGATATGCACGATGCCTTCTGCTAAGGCCATTTATTAAAGCGGTGCTATTCTGATGCTTTTGATTGGTTTTCCAATCAAATCAAATTAATTTGTGGCTGACTTCCTCTTTGCCGCTGAAAGCACTAGGCTTCTACAACCAGTCTGAGAGCTGCACCACGACGAGTGATAAAAATGCATTTTATTGCTGGAAATTTAAAAATATATTTCACCCTAAAATCTAAGAAGGCACAAATATAACTGTTCAGTGCAAAATTTGTTTCTACATGTTTCAAGAGTGTGGTGGTAGCTACTTTATAAATCTTATATATTTCAAAGCTATTTTATTAGTGAAGTAGCGCCCACACAAGCTACTATTTACCGATCCTGGATCAATAAGTGCTGGCACCAACAGAGCTGTGAGGCCGGTGTCTAGGTGATGAGTCGTCATTGCGATGCCATGACCGTTGCACAGCTCAGATCGCGGCTAACTTTCGTAAGAGAGCGAGCCACCCCAGTTGCCTCCTGTAAAAAATAAGCAGCTGGCGCTCGGGCAGATCTGAGGGTTCCAGTGGGAGATAATCCGCCGCCCACGGGCTCGCGGACCTCTCGCTCCTCACGGCGCTCCATCCAAACTTCGGGTAGTGGGAGTGATCCGTCTAACCAGATGGTAGCTCTCACGCTCGCTGACACCGGAGATCAGATGTCCTCCGTGGCATCGGAGGGTGGGCTTTCACTGTCCGACGAAGATCCGGACCCAAATCAGATCCTGAAGCAGCGGACATGTTAGCCGTGCTTTCCCGGGCTGCTTCGGCCGTGGGGTTGGAGCTGGTTCATCCCCCAGCTCCGCGGCCGGACCGACTAGATGGGTGCTACGTAGAGGACCAGAAGGCGAAGCCTTCAAGCCTCTCGTCCCCTTCTTCCCGGAAGTGCACAGTAGGCTCACGCAGTCTTGGAGGGCACCTTTCTCTGCCCGTGCTGCATGTCCCTCCGCCCTCACCGCCCTTGATGGCGGAGCTGCCAGGGGGTATGAGGCGATCCCATCAGTGGAGCGCGCTATCGCGGTCAATCTTTGTCCGCGTGGCGCCTCTACGTGGCGGGGTTTGCCCCGCCTCCCGTCCTAAGCCTGTAGGTTGTCTGCCTCCCTCGGAGCCAGAGCTTATAAGGCTGCGGGCCAGGCTGCTTCTGGCCCGCAGCCTTAACCCAGGCTTATTACATGACCCAGGCTTATTACATGAGCTGCGCACCGCGACCGACTATGCTCTTCGGACTACTAAGTCCTCCGCGTGTGCGCTGGGGAGAACGATGTCCACACTTGTGGTTCAGGAACGCCACCTCTGGCTACACATGGATATATATGCGCGATGTTGACAAAGTTCGCTTTCTTGACTCGCCCATATCCCAGGCTGGCCTGTTCGGCGACACCGTCGGTGAATTCACCAAGGAATTCACTCCGGCCAAGCGGGCGCGGCGTACACCTCGAAAGCAGGCAGCCCCCCCTGCCCAGGGCGCCGTTAAGTCCGGCAAACGGACCGCGAAGCGTCCCTGAGACAGGCCATCCGGATAAGAGGAAACTTGCTCTTTCCCCGCTGGAGGGCGGGGCCCCGATTACAACGGTACTTTTCAGTGCCACCAAAACATCAATCAAAGAGCACTTTTCCCCTTCCCCGGATGTGACAGCACGAATTCTGCCAGTACGGGACGCGCTGCCTTCCGGCTCGCAGATTCTACGTGCTTCACCAGTGGATCATGAGCGCTGGGGGGACGGTCTCCCTTCCCTCAGCCCTCCAGCCCCCTCTCCGGAGTCAGGTTGCGGAGCCAGAGCGAATCGCTCTCCTCCAGCTCTTCCGCGGGACCCTCGTGCTTCCCGGATCAGCACACCCACTCTGCGCTGCCCCACTGCTGGTACGTCAGCGATTGTAGCGATGACTCCATTAGCGAGGGCTCTGCCTGCCTGGTTAGCATGGGCCAGCCCCTCGCGGTGGCTCATACGCACAATCAGACTCGGTTACGCGATTCAGTTCGCGAAACGGTCCTCCAAGTTCACGGGCGTGTATTTCTCCAGGGTCAACCCCCTGTCCACCCCTGTCTTGCGAGAGGAGATTGCTGCCCTCCTGGCGAAGGGTGCAATCGAGCCAGTTCCTCCAGCCGAGATGGAGAGTGGGTTTTACAGCCCATATTTCATCGTACCCAAAAAGAGCGTGGGTCACGACCAATACTAGATCTGCGCGTTTTGAACCGCTGTCTGCACAAGCTGCCGTTCAGAATGCTCACGCAGAGGCGCATTCTCCAATGCGTTCGTCCTCGGGATTGGTTTGCAGCCATAGACCTGAAGGACGCGTATTTCCATGTATCCATTCTTCCACGCCACCGACAATTTCTGCGGTTTGCGTTCGAGGGTCGAGCGTGGCAGTACAAGGTCCTCCCCTTCGGGCTTTCTCTGTCTCCGCGGGTCTTCAGCAAACTCGCGGAGGGTGCCTTAGCGCCCCTTCGGCTCGCGGGCATCCGCATACTCAATTATCTCGACGACTGGCTGATTTTAGCCCACTCGCGGGAGCAATTGATTGTGCACAGGGACAAGGTGCTTCGGCATCTCCGCCTACTGGGGCTTCAGGTCAACCGAGAAAAGAGAAAACTCGCCCCCGTGCAAAGGATCTCTTTTCTCGGGATGGAGCTGGACTCGATCACCATGGTAGCGCACCTCTCCGAGGAACTGTTGCTGAACTGTCTGAGGGAGCTCGACAGCAAACTAGTGGTCCCACTGAAGTTCTTTCAGAGGCTCCTGGGGCATATGGCATCCGCAGCCGCCGTCACGCCGCTCGGATTGCTCCATATGAGACCACTTCAGCACTGGCTTCACGATCGGGTCCCAAGATGCGCATGGCACGCGGGCACACACCGGGTCTCTGTTACTGCGCTGTGTCGCCGCGCCCTCAGCCCTTGGAACGACCCCTCGTTCCTACAGGCCGGTGTGCCTCTAGGACAGGCGTCCAGCCATGTTGTTGTTTCAACAGATGCTTCCAACATGGGTTGGGGGGCCGTGTGTCGCGGGCATGCGGCTGCGGGCCTGTGGAAGGGTGCCCAGTTGCATTGGCATATCAGTCGCCTAGAGCTGTTGGCAGTGTTCCTCGCTCTCCACCGCTTTTCACAGGTGCTGGAGCGGCAACACGTGCTGGTCAGGACGGACAGTACGGCGGTGGCGGCGTATATCAACCGCATGGGGTGTATGCGCTCTTGCCGCATGTCTCAGCTCGCCCGCCGTCTGCTCCTCTGGAGTCACCCGCGGCTGAAATCGCTGCGCGCCATTCACGTTCCAGGCAAGCTCAATCGTGCAGCCGATGCGCTCTCACGACAGCTGTTACGCCCTGGAGAATGGAGACTCCACCCCGAGTCTGTTCAGCTGATATGGGCGCGATTCGGGGAGGCCCAGATCGATCTGTTTGCTTCCCCCGAGAACGCTCATTGCCAGTTGTTTTTTTCCCTGACCGAGGGCTCTCTCAGCACGGATGCACTGGCCCACAGCTGGCCTCGGGGCATGTGCAAGTATGCGTTTCCCCCAGTGAGCCTGCTCGCGCAGTTACTGTACAAAGTCAGGGAGGACGAGGAACAGGTTCTGCTAGTTGCGCCCCTTTGGCCCAACCGGACCTGGATATCAGAGCTCTCACTCCTTGCGATGGCCCTCCCCTGGCGGATCCCTTTGAGAGAGGACCTACTCTCTCAGGGACAGGGCACCATCTGGCACCCTCGCCCGATCTTTGGAACCTCCACGTGTGGTCCTTAGACGCGAGGAAGACTTAGGTAACCTACCGACTGCGGTGGTTAATACCATCACTCAGGCTAGGGCCCCCTCCACGAGGCGCGCCTACACCCTGAAGTGGAGTCTATTCACTGAATGGTGCTTCTCTCGCAGAGAAGACCCCCTTTGGTGATTGAGGAAACAACTAGGTAGGGTGTTGAGACACGCTTGCTGCGCCATTTTCCCTAACACGGATATATGTGCGCCTTTTTATCTGTCAGTAAAGTTCCCCGTCAGGTGAGCCATGCAGATTCCTCCCTGGCCCCCAGCACTGACTCAGCGGGAGAGTCACTTGCTGGCCCACTACGTTGTAGGTCTGCCCGCTGGTCAGCCCGCGTTTTGGGTATAGGTGCCTGCTATGCGTGATCCCCACTAGGCGATCCCATATGCTTATTCCGCCACGGTTAAGTCCCCCCCCCTGGGCGGACCCGTGTCTTCCCTCTCCGCCAACCACTCTTTTGCTATGCGTACTCCCCCTTTTTAGGGCTAGTCCATATGTAAATCCTGCCATCTATCCCCCCTTGGGTAACGGATGGCCTCCGCAGCGTCCTCCCTATCAGGATTGCACGCTTCCCAACGTACTGTCGTATTTCCTAGAATTATCTAGATGCTCACGACTTCCCAAAAAATATATCGAAAATCCGTAAGACTTCTGTTGAAGTAGGATAAATTAGGGCCAGGGACACGTTGGAGGACCTTGCCTCCCATGATGTGGGTGCGTCACGCTTGCTTGACTATCCCCTCATCGGGGCGTTGGTAAGGTGCAGTTATTATGGGGCTTTCCATAGTTCTTCCATTTCGTGGATTTCAAATCAAATCCACTCTATAGCACTTCCGTTCCTCTCCTTCGGGGAACGAAGGGTTACTTCTGTAACCTCGAACGTTATCTAATGTAATTGGTGTCTTTGTTTCCTCTCAGTTTGCTTTAGCTCTGTCATTTCTTTTTTTGTGGTGATTGATCCAAAAGTTTACATTCTTAATCACCTGTTTTTAAATGGTCAATCCCTAAAAGTGAGGGGGACATATCCACCGTCCCCCCAATTGCTAAGCCCCTAGGTCAAGTCTGTAACTAAGAAGAATGCAAGCACATTTAGTGGTTGAGGGAGTGCTTCATGTGGCAGTAAAATGCTCATTCTGGTTGAGAACCATGTATGTGTGTGTGTGTGTGTGTGTGTGTGTGTGTGTGTTTTCCGTCATAAGCTGTAAGTTTTGCTCTTCTCTCTGTTCTCAGTACATTACTGCAGGCTCGCTCTCCATTGCTGCTGAAAACAAAATTGATTCACCAGCCGGTTTATGTTTGGTATGTGCACAACACTTGTTCTTTTCATGGGTCTAAACACTGGGTGCTTGTAGTGATTTGGTCTGTAAGTATTTGCACATAAATATTATTGACATCGCAATTTTAAAAGATTCGACACTCTTTTTAATTAACCTAATCATGGCCTTTTAATCAGACACACAGTCATGCCTTGGCTAACTTAGGAAGGCAAGAGGATCACAGGATTTATCAAATACATAGATTTATTTACAGTCACTCACTTGGAAGGACATCGATAACACAGGAGACTCAGGACTGACATATGATGAAGCACAACTGAAAATACTGGATGAAGGACTGAAAAAAACACAGGAGTATAAATACACTGGGGATGATTAAACTGATTGCATACAGGGGTGAGACACAGGGGAACTAGAATGAAAGGGTCACATTATGAATACAAAAGGTGCGTTCGACTTCATGCAGCACTGCGCAGATCGATCGAGCGTCTTAAAGTGGTGCATGCTGGTTAGAAATTTTGTCCGGATTGATGCTGCGCCGACGCCACGTGACAGCGCTCCGAGATCAGACGACTGATTCAGCCGGTGCAGCATCTGAAGAGCGACTGCATGAGCTCTGATGACGACACAGATATTACACGATTGGCCGACTTCCAAAACAAACAATTCACTTTACATACCCTCTCAATCTTTTATATATCATGCTTATAAAAAACACAGATATTTTACTGCAGTATCATATTTTGTTAAATAATCTGGTTATAAAGGTTAGCTTTTTTGCACAGGTTTGTTTTCAACTTTCTTTATACAGACTATTTACTTCATTCAGCTCCATGAACGATTTAAATTATATATTTTAGTAAATAACCTAAATATGAACTCAAATGAGTCTTACAGACAGTAATAGGCAAGGCAAGGCAAGTTTATTTATATAGCACATTTCATACACAGTGGCAATTCAAAGTGCTTTACATAAACAAGAATAAAAGAAACAAGTAAAATAAAAATAAAAACAAATAATAAAAATGCGTAAAAACAAAACAAAACATAAAAACAGGTAAAATGTGATATGAAAGAATGAAGAAGAAGAGAAAAACATGATAGTGCAATCTGTCGGACGCAGCACAGTGCTCATTCAGTAAAGGCACAGCTAAACAGATGTGTTTTCAGTCTTGATTTGAATGTGCCTAATGTTGGAGCACATCTGATCATTTCTGGAAGCTGATTCCAGCAGTGAGGGGCATAGTGGCTAAAAGCCGATTCACCCTGCTTTGACTGAACTCTTGGAACTTCTAGTTTATATGATCCTAAAGATCTGAGTGATCTGTTGGGTTTGTATTCAGTGAGCATATCTGTGATGTATTTAGGTCCTAGGCCATTTAGTGATTTATAGACCAGTAATAATACTTTAAAATCTATTCTGAATGTAACTGGCAGCCAGTGTAGAGACCTGAGGACAGGTGTGATGTGCTCTGATTTCCTGGTTCTGGTCAGAATTCTGGCTGCAGCATTCTGGATGAGCTGCAACTGTCTGACTGTCTTTTTAGGAAGACCAGTGAGGAGTCCATTACAGTAATCCACCCTGCTGCTGATAAAAGCATGAACAAGTTTCTCTAAATCTTCACTAGAAACAAAGCATCTGATTCTTGCTATGTTTTTGAGATGATAGTATGCTGATTTACTGACTGCTTTGACATGACTGTTGAAACTCTGATCTGACTCAGACTCAGATTTATTTTATAAATAAAATAATTATCATTACTGATCGTGACACCCTAAAGGTTTCTTAACAAATTAAACTTCTACTGAAATTGTACGATTTTAAAAAGGAGGCCTTTTTCATGTTTTCTGTAAAGGATTATTTTAAACTCATACTAGACTGTTGGTTCACTGAAATTTAAATCACAGGATTAAAGGATCTGCTCGTTTTTTAACCATTTAGCAGATGGTTTTATCCAAAGTGACTCACACCCATAAACACACATCCAGGGCATCAGGGAGCAGTTGGGATCCCTTGCTAATGGCACCCACTTCAGCTTGAAACCTGAGACTCAAATCTGCGAACTTTAGATCAAAAGTCCAATTCTCTAAACACTTAGGCTACACACTTACAACAGGCACACACTGTTTAGATGACTGGTTTGCTGTATTCTTCTTCCAGTTAAACAGCCACTAACTTTCTTGTAATTTAGTAGGAGTTGGTAAATTGACGTGTTGCAAATTCAGCCACTCTAATCTCCTGTGCGGGGTTGTGACTTATAAACTTGATACATGAGCTGAAGTAAACAGTGTTGATCATAACTCGACACATTTACTAGCAAATGTTTAGTGATCAGACTGAAAACGTTCTACAGAGAGACTTTCCATTCGGTCAATTATTCATACATATACTTAGACCCTTAATTGTATTCATTTGTCAATAAAATGTTATCACTTTCCACATAATCTATCATCTGTTTAACCACAGTGTGTTAACACAACATGATACAAAACCTTTCTATTTCTGTGTGTCTACTGTAGGTGAGAGCTTCCCTCGGGATGAACATTTTCAGTGCCATAGCAACGGGCATTGCCATTATTATGCTTTCACTGGGTTTGACTATTGGACCCTACACTTACTGCAGACTCTACAATTATTGTGAGGATTATTTTGTAAGTCATCAACTCTTGTATTGATATCATTTTAGTATTAATGTTTTATTTTATAATTACAGTAAGATCACTGTGTGACCGGTGCACTTGTGAAAATCAAGCGTAATCTGCACTCATCTGTCCAATGCTGTCCAGAACTTGACAAGATATTACTGTTCATTTACACTGGATACTAATATTGACATAAAGGTGCCATAGAATGCGCTGATACACTGTTTAAATTGTCACTAATATTCACATATATATGTGGCATGGATAGGTTAAATATTTTCATAAGTCCATTTAGAGCCAAAGTTATTGGTCCTTGTCTCTGGCATTCACACAGTGTAATGTACTCTGGCATTCATGTACAAAATGATCATACTTAAGTTATAAAGAATATTTGAACAAAAATTGTTAGAGTAGATTCCTTGTTAAAAGACAATTGTTTTTAACTGAAGTGGAGAAGAGCTACATGTTCATAATGGCTTGTAAATATTGTGGATATTAAAGGCTAAATCGACAAAGATAACCAGCACAGATGTGTTTTGAGTATTTTGTAGGTAATAAATCTGAAAACAACGTCAGCAATTAATATCAAGCTCCATGTAAACAGATACGCTTCTGGTGTCTTTTCATAGACAAATGAGAGTAAGAGCTGAGTGATATGACACCATGCATTTAACGCTTATATTAAGCAGTTTACATGTGTTTGTTACCTCATTACAAACATTCATACTAAACTTCACTTAAAACTACACATTAAACTAACTAAAGACTTTATTAGAGATGGCTTTATAATAATAAGAGTCCGACATTATAGGAAATATAATGAGCTGTGTGAAACTTAATTCAACAATAACTGTTGTAACCTCACTAAGAGATGTTGTGAAATGGGGCATGTCTATTAATGATCTCATGTGGATTCTAAGAGTCAGAATTTTGCTCAGATTGGCCTGATTTTACACTCACATGATTTCCCTGACAATGAGGAAACGGGCATTTGAGGCTCAAGGTTTCAAGAACTGAAAACATATGTCTAACTATATACAGACTTTTATTCTCTGGCACCTTTAAACATTACTTTTATGGCCTGTGCACACCGAGACGTTTTTTGCTCGCGTTTTCCGTTGACGTTTAACGCCTCGTAACTAAATAAAGGGCGCCAATGGGATTGTGCACTCCAACGCGCAAAATGCCAGGTGCAAAAGTGTCATTTTGAAAAAAAATCATGCTCATGCTCGTTTTTTTCATTTGAAGCGTCAAAACCTTCTCCACCAATCAGATCGGCACTTTTGTTCATGTGCACGGAGCTGCTGAAGTTACAGTAAACAGCACTTGGAGGCGCTCAAGCGCAAAACTGTCAATGTGAGCGCACATTGAAGAAGATGCCCAGAGGCGATATGAACGTGGAGCTGCTTACTGCACTGGTGAACAATAACCATTTCTTCATCGCTAGAGCTAGAGCTGCTGCTTAAACCATCCATGCTTGTTTGAGTCACCAATAAATTGCCAAATGCAGCGCCATCTAACGTCAAAAGAGTGATTTAGCATACTCGTCTGCTTGACGCCAGTCAAAAGCGCCTGGGTTTGAACACTGAAAAACATCTCATAAATCGCTGACGATAAACGCAAATAAAAAACGTCCCAGTGTGTAGAAGCCTTTAGATTTTGTTTAGTTTATTAGTATGCTGTAGCTAAAGGACTACATACTTGACTTCTCTTTGTTGTTATTCTTTATGCTTATGTTGAATGTTCTCTCAGAATCTCTTGAGTGGTTTTTTGCTGCTGTTCTCCATCCTTGAGCTCTTCATCTCCATCTGGCTGTCTGCATTTGGCTGTAAAGTCACCTGCTGCAATTTTCCTTAGGTGAGTAATACATCAGCAGAACCCATCAGATACATTTTGGCTTATAGGATAGACAGTAGGTGACATATTAATATGGCCAATACAGCCGCCATGTCCTGATTTTGCCAAGTGCTAGTTGCCCTGAGACCAGAGATGTATAAAGTACTAGAGACCCATACTTAAGTAAAAGTACAAGTGCTTTATCAAAAAGTGACTTGAGTAGAAGTAGAAGTGCTCTTTAAGCACCATACATAAGTGGAAGTACAAAAGTATTCAACATTTTTTGTACTTAAGTATTGCAAGTAGTTTATTTCAAAATTTACTACTCAAGTACTGAAAGCAAAAGTACAAGTATTGTGTAATGTCGTTATTAAAGAAAGCAGTCAAACTACACTAATTGTTTTGTTTATTTTAAATATCTTTTTTGGGGTACTTGATTAAGCAGAACGAAAAGAAACATGGCTTATGATACTGTTTTTCTCTGTAAATAGTTTCTATGGTACAAGAGCTCACATCGTCAGGCCCTTTTACCCGAAAATGCCTTCACTGATGAGATAATTCAGCATGTTCACTCACATACATACTCTCTCTCCCTCTCTCTCTCTCTCTCTCTCACACACACACATACACACACACACACACACTGCCCTGCACACACCTAAATGTACACTCTCTCCCCACTCTCACACATTCATACACTCTCACACACACAGTTCTCTCTCTATCTCTCTCTCACACACACATTTTTGTGAATTGTGGGGACATTACATAGGTTGCAATTGTTTTTACACTCTCTCTTACACATACACATACACACACACACACACACTGTTGTTTTCTCTTACTCACACATTATTCACTCTCACTCACACACACAAAGACACACTCACACTTTGGGAGTTTTGAAGTTTGATTGGTTAATGCACAATAAACAGGAGTTCTGTCTTCTGGAAGCACTCGTGAAACTATTCTAAACAAGCAAACTAAATCCTGCTTCACTAATTCACTTGATTTTGATTTTATTGTAAAAAAAAAAACAGGAAAATGTGTATATTACTGCGTTAAATGAAAATCTGAAATATTTTATGGCTTATGGCTATGATTTAGTAATAATTTTATTTATTTTTATTATGTTTTTAATGAAATTGGTCTTACAGTTCATATTTTCTGTAGTACATTTATTAATTCTGGTACTTTTACCATAAACCAAAATCTCAACCATTTGGTAGAGGCTGATATTTTAGGAATAATGTGATGTGTTGAATAAAAATGCACTGATTGTGTTAACTAGCGACATTAGGAGTTAAGAAATGCAATCAAAAAAGAAATTCTATTGCTTTTGTCTTGGTGTGACAGTTAAAGGGTTTTTTGTAATAAAATTTTGTCCTTTAATACAGCAGTCAGATATACGAACTGTGCCCTTAATTTGACCTGCTCAAAGAAAACACTCTTCCTGGATGTATCAAACAAAACTCATGCACAGAAGACAGCACGCGCATTTACAGCTAATAAACTCATGTCAATATTATCCCGCCTGCTTTTTGAGCGCTGACAGGCGGGTCTTACACGGCTATGATTGGTTATTGTCCTCAACAGAAAGGGCTTTAAAAATACAAGCGCTGTTCACTCATGGCGGGAAGAATACGCGATTATCACAGGTAATAGACACAGTGGAGAAAACTTAATTGCACATGAGGCACGCTCATGTCTGGATCCACAGCTTTAACAGCTAAGAAGAGAGGAAAAGTTACCTTACAAACTGGCCAGCGGGTCAAATGTCCAAAGTGAGAGAGCGAGAGATAGGCAGAGGTGAAGTTTTACAACATTTCTCCCTAATAGTAAACTAGCGGCTTGTATGCTGTGCCGCCTCACCCTCGCGCCTCCGTCCTTCGCCATAGTATTGCGACATCGCGCATAGGAGATAAATGACGTCATCACGTAATAACCGGTTATGACCTATTACTGAACTGATATCGATCATTTTGACACCCCTAGTAACGAGTATCGATGCAGCACATAAAAAATCTATCGGAGTAAAAGTATTAAACTCATGGAAAATATGTACTTAAGTAAAAGTGGAAGTAGGAGAAAAAAATAATACTCCAGTAAAGTACAGATACTGCCTTTTAGTACTTAAGTACAGTAGTGAAGTAGTTTTACTTCGTTACAATACATTTCTGCCTGAGACCAACATTTTTTTATAATGACCCAGGGACAACAACTCCATCAGTCATTCAAATGTCATAACGTCATCATTATGTGCCCCTCTGCAAAGCCCGCAAAAAAAAAGAGAGAAGAAAACACACACTTGCATTTTTACCAGTGAAGAGGACAAGGGAAAAGGCAAGACCATGAGTTTTCTCCTATCAATTTAAGTTACAGAATGATCGCAAAATTATTATTTGTTTATGGATTTGCTCTTTTTATCCAGCTTAGTGAACATTTAACTTTAGTTTGCATCGACAAGTTAGCCTAATTAGCCATCCATACAAGTCTTTCTAGCTCAAATTAAAACAAGATAACAAATTGAATTGTTTTAACTGTGTGCCTAGCTTTCAAACGCGATTAAATTTGGTATTTTTATAGCTTAAAGCCTCCACTAATTTGTCTAATATGTCTGTTTTAGTATGTATTATGCCACTGCCAATTTCTATTGTGTCGCGTTCAGCTTCATTTAAAGATAAACGGCTGAAATGCAGAACAAACAGCATTTGTTTAAACAAAAGAGAGTATACAAGACGCTTACGTACTGTGATTCAGTCGATTTAATCCGATTATTTATTCTGTTAGATATGAACAGTGTTGTGCAAGTTACTTCCAAACTGTAATACATTACAGATTACTTATTACTGTTATTTAAATCTCATCCCTTACCTTACAATATTACTGTCTCAGAATTGTAATAAGTTACATTACTCTTATATTACTTTTTAGTTACTTTCACCAAAATAACTGCAGAATTAGAACTTAACATTATAAAATTCTATAATGTTCTATAATGAGCATTTTACATCCAGTAGAAAGTGATTTGATGTAGCAGAATGACTGTGACCTCTCCAGGCTACTAACAATATAGTATATAATTGGCAATGTGAAGGCTCAAGACAATGCAAGAAAGGATGACAGCCAGAGTTACAAATGATCTGTTAAAAGTATGGTAGAGGTAAAGTGATTATCTGGCAATATCTGTGAATGGCTTGGCTATATTCATATTAGACACAACAGGCCGATATGTAAACTCCAATGCCATGACAAAATGCAGATTTAGTTTCTTTTCTTATTGTTGCCATTATTGTACTTACTTTACATTCAAATGGTTTACAACACAAAACCGTCCTGCACAAAGTGAGCATGATGAACAGTTTTCTCAGTATAATGTTTGTGCATCGATTTCCTGTTTGTGGACAAAACTGCTTGCGAGCTCTCACATACGCTGCTTGCGCACAAATTCTCACGATCTCTCAAATTTGCACTGCTCACGCACAAGTTTTCTTGCTCTCAGTACACTGCTCTCTCAGTGAGATTATATGCAAACTCACAATTCGTGTCTTGTGTTCCCTCTTCCTTTCAAGCTTTTTGATATGAATTATATTAATACACTATTTATTAACAATAACCAAAATATTAAAATAGACTTATATTTTTTAATCTAATAAACCATAACATTGTTGGCTGTATGTTATATGGTGAGATATTTCAAATAAAAAAGCATTTAGACAAATATAAAAACTAACGCAAGCAGAAATGGAACTAATAGAAACACTTGATAAGGTATTATAGCCTACTGTACTATTCACTCTTCAAATAAATCTCATTATCAATCACATTTTTTATGGCAACTAAAATAAAGTGAACTAGTGTCTGTTGTCTTCCACATTGTTGATGAGATTGTGGAGGACATTTTCCCTGCCATCATCTTCATTTTGAGAAGAAGCTGTTCCACAGGGCCCCTGAACACACATTGTCATTAAGTACTGTAATTACCCTTTTGTGGTAATACTATAGTTGCTATGGTAACACAAGTACACTGTAAATGCGAATAGTATTCCTTACTATCAAAATTCTAGTGTGTTTACTTAATTTTAAGCTAATTGTTGAGTTTACTAGAAATGCATTAGTGTTGCTGACATAGTAAGGTATAAAGTTCCCATAACTAATGTAATTTGAGTAAAATTGCTTATAAGGGCTAAGCCATGCTGTTACGCATGCGTACTGGGTGGTGATTTCCCATCCCCCATCCTGAGTCACAACCAACCGCCACCCAGCACCGCCATTGAAGGACAGGATTTCATATTGAGATGTACTGCTGTAAATCAAGGTAAACTTTTCGTTTTAATTACTACTTTGATTTTATTTGTATAGTATCAGTAATCTGTTTATTTCCTGCACTTTGTGAAATTGTTTGCTGTTTTGTGAACTAATTAATAGCCCATGATGTTGTGACTAAACGTTTTGACCACTGCACGTTATTTGCAATACTGTCTACTTTACTAGATAAGCTATTTTTAGCTGCTTAGTCCTTTTTAATAACTATTAATAATTTGTAAAGTTAGTAGTAATTTGTAAAGTGGGCGTTATGCTCTAAAAGAGCGGGCCGCGCCATTTTAAATGATGCACTGAGAGAGCAAGAGCGCGCGCAATGATCCGTTCAGATAGATGTAAAGTTAACACATAGCTGTAGGTCTACATTTTTAAAAAAGAAAACGAAACCTATTTATCCGCATTACAAATACAGTAACGTTAGTTATCGCTGAACTTTAGTGGCGCTTGTTGTGACGAAAATATGCGTGTTTTTTTTTTAAGATTTACTTTTATGAGATCACCTGCAGGAAGCAGGTGAGGAGATCAGCTGTGATTCGGTCCGGCGTCAGCGAGCGGCTCATGACCAGACCAGTCGTTTTTTTCTCCATGATCGCCGGGGCAGCAGCAGTTTTAACCCGCCGATGCTTTTAGAACATTATAAAGCAGTTTCAGCTCAAAATGGACCCGTGGGTGTCGTAGGTAATTTAGGATTTCGATGC